GAAAATAAAGCACTTCCACTTGTGCTATAACATGAAATGTCCTAAATTATTTTCTGCCATGTGGTCAAGAACCTGTAAAAGTTTGAGTAGAGGTCTCCTCCATCTCTGGAGATCTCCTTAACTCCCTGAATGGTGAAAATGCCTTCATATCCATGTTTATGCAGCACTATTCATAATATTCAAGATATATAATTAGTCTATGTGTTAATCAACGGATGGATGTATAAAGAAAATATGGCATATACACACTATAGAGTTTTATTCAGCCATAGAGAATGAAGTGATATCTTTTAAAAAGTTTTTTTAGTTGTTGATGTACATTTATTTATTTATGGTGTTGAGGATCAAACCCAGTGCCTCATACATGCCAGGCAAGTGCTCTCTGCCACTGAGCCACAACTCCAGCCCCTGAAACAATATCTTTTGTGGGAAAATGGATGAAACTGGAAGATGTCATGTGAAGGAAATAAACCAGACACAGTATGACAAGTAATCTATATTTTCTCTTATACGTGGAAACTAGAAAAAAAAAAAGACCTAAAAGTGGAAGAGGAAGAGGAAAAGTACTGGGAAGAGGATCAGGAGAGGGGACAAAAAGGGCAGACAGTAGAGAGGGTAGAAGAAGGAAAGATAGCTAAGATCAATGAATGATAGCTGTATGGATGGAAATATCACAGCAAATCCTATTAATTTGGACGTTAACTACTACTACTTCTTCTAGTTTTACTATTACTAGTAGTACTAAGAGAATCAGCAAGATGTACTCTGCCCCCAGACTGGAGCGGTCTGGTGTTGGCAGTGCTACAGGTCTTTTAGGACAAGTGGTGTCTCTGAAAATATCCTTTGGGTTCTGCTCAGGGCATCCAGATGCAGCTCACTGGTGGCGGGTGAAACGAATGACAACCTGATGACATCCCTGGTGTCCTTGGTCATGGCATACTTGCCGATCTCCCCAGGCAGCACTAACTACACTGCTGTCTAATTTTCTCTGGAGGTAATGGTCATGTGCTTATTCTTGTGGGCCAGGTGGCTGGAATGAATCCATGACACTCACGATTATCAAGGCAATGGTGAGGTTCACGTGGTCATGCTTCAGGATTAGAGGAAATTGGTAGCGAAACTATACCTGTAAATAGTAGACTCAAGTTACTGAGATTAGAATAGCTTTCTCTCCCTCTGGTGGTTTATTACAGAATTAGTGTCATATTTAATTTCAGTTAGGACTTCTTATAGGTATTCACCAGTGCTAGTATGTGGGGGGGGGTCTTATTTTTAAGGATTAAGTATTGTTAAAATTACAATTCGGACTTGGAAAATGCTGAAGGAACTTGTATCTATGTAAAAATAGCCTTCTTCTCTTTGTGTTCACCATTTGAAAATTGAAGTTTTGTAATTTCTCCTTTTCTTAGTTCCCAGGGGGTTTGATGGGAACTAGAGGTATTAGAGGGATAGCCAGGAACACTCAGTGTACTTACTCCTTTTTTTCTTTTTGTCATTTGTTTTCTTTTTCTTTTTTTTTTCCTTTGGTTTCTGAACATTTTACTGCTGTATACAGCCTTTTCATGCAAGTTACACAATGAGTTTCTAAAGCTCTCATACTATGGGGCATGCCCTTGCTACTGCCTGAAACAAGTTCATTGCCTTCAGCCCAAGACACTGGATGAAGGACAACTTATTACTTTTATGTACAGAAATGCAACAGCATACATTTATCCCAGTTTAGTGGCAAGTGCTCTAGCTTTTGCCTTTTCCAGCTTGGCAATGCGAGCCACAGATTTTGGACCCAGGACGTTGCCTCCCCAGTGGCGATGGATCTCATCATATCTGTCATTGTAGTTGTTTCTGATAGCTTCCACCAACTTAGCCAGAGCTCCTTTGTCTTCCGAGTTAACCTATGTGAAGGCAACAGTGATTCAAGTCTTCCTGTGAACCAGATGTCCCAGCCTAACCTTCCCCTTGATGATGCAGTAAGGGACTCCCATCTTGCGACACAGGGCAGGCAGGAAGACAACCAGCTTGATGGGATCCAGGTCAAGTGCGATCACCACCAGCTGAGCCTTCTTGTTCTCCACCAAGGTGGTGACAGTATTTAAGCAGCTGGGTGTCTGTTTGGCGGTCCAAGGCCTGGGTGAACTGGTTAATCGCAGGAGGCACTTTCAGCTTATAGAGAATAGCCCTTTGCCGCTGCAGCCGGATGTAGGATGTAGCGGGGCCATGTTACAGAGCTGGTAAGGTACCTTTTGGGCTGGATGTCCTGCCAGATGCCGAAGTTCTTCCGCCTCTTCTTGAAGAGCGGGTTCACTACCTTCTTAGCCTCCTGCTTCTTGACCACAGCTGGGGCCCGGGGCCACCTTCTTCCCCTTGGCTTTCTTTCCCTTCAGCATCTTGGTCAGCTGGAGGAGAGAGCTGTTTTCTTTTTCATTTTACTTTTCATTTCCTTTCCTCTTTTTTCCTTCTCTCCTTCTCTTTCTCCTACTTCATTCTCTCTTTCCTATCTGGGACACAAACCCAGGGCCTAATTCAGGCTAGGCAGGTGCTCTACCACTGAACTACATCCTCAGTTCCTTTATTTTCTTTCTTCATGTAGCTATTTCTCCACTGTGTTTGGTTCTTTATTTAAATGAATTTCATAATAGTGATCATGTTATAAAAGAAGAAATGAAGCATGTTAGTTCCATTAATGATGTTTTCTCTGATTTGATAATTTTAATTATGTATGGCAGTAAATTATTTCATTATTTTGTTTTGTTTAATGTTATATGATACCATATTTTATTGCTGGTATTTCAAGAAAGATTTTTGTATCCTTGTTTAAAAATGAACTGCTTGGGCTGGGATTGTGGCTCAGTGGTAGAGCGCTCACCTAGCACTGGTGGGACCCGGGTTCAATTCTCATCACCACATAAAAATAAAGGCGTGTGTTGTGTCCATCTACAAAAAAAAGATATATTCATTCTCTCTCTCTCTCTCTCTCTCTCTCTCTCTCTCTCTCTCAAAAAAAAAAAAAAAAAAAAAAAAAGGAACTGCTCATGGCTGGGGCTGTAGCTTAGTTGGTAGAGTGCTTGCCTAGCACATGTGAGGCACTGGGTTTGATCCTCAGCACCACATAACAATAAAATAAAGGTATTGTGTCGATTTACTATAAAAATTTGTTTAAAATGAACTGCTCAGATTTTCTTAGCATGCTCCTTTCAACAGGTTTTTTCATCGCATTCTATTTCTTGAGGAAAAATGTTTTTATCACTTCATATTCTAAAGTTATTGCTTGATTCTTACAGGTCTGTCAGGAAACACTATTGGAATCCTGGCCATTTGGTGTGATATTTCATGACTAATCTCTATTTTTAAAGTCTTTTCAATCCTTAAATCTTTCTTTGGTTCAATTTCTGTAATTTATGTTTTACTTTCTTATATTTAAGAAATGTTTTTGAATGTATTATCATAGTTTCTTGAAGGATATCCTTCAATTTAAAACCATTTTCCATTCACTATTTCCTTTGTCTCTCTAAGGAGGGTTTTAGAGAGATTAGATTAACAGTAGTTGCCTGGAATAGCTCTTATTCTCCCATAGTAGCATTTTTTTTCAGCAAAAATTCTGTACAACTTTATTTTAACAAGAGAAAAAAATCAATTATAACACAATTTGAAATATCATATGCTCCAACAGTAGTTGATAATATTTTCATAAGTCTTATACCTTTGTAAACATTATTTTTCTATCATTCCTTTAAACTTGTTGAGTCTTTCTATATTAAGCAATTATATAACATTGTTTCTATAATTAAAGCTTTCAACTAACATAATTGATTGACATTTATTTAGGATTGTTAGTTGTGATGAGAAATTTATGATTAGGTGCACTATATGATTGTTGCAGTATTGCTACAAAGGGCTTGCTCCAATCATAAGGATTCAGAGAAATTCAATTCTATATTTTTCCCTTAAAAATAGTGTCAGAACTACTTTATATACTATAGTATTGCACCTTTCAAATTAGTAGAACTTTAGTTTTTACATGTCTTCAGTGAGGACTTAATCCTTCCCTTTCATTAGGCACAGCCCAATGTGAGAAGCATTTCCTACAGGTTATATATAAATTATTGTTTCCCCTCAATAAAAAATATGGAATGCTTCACGAATTTGCATGTCATCCTTGCTAATCTTCTCTGTATTGTTCCAATTTTAGTATATGTGCTGCCAAAGTGAGCACCCATAGTAGCATTTAGAATATTTTTAGAATCCAAATTTTGTTAAGACAACAATTTTACTCTGGTAGAAGTTTAAGAAAAAATAAATTTATATATGTGTACCTATTTCATTTTGTGTTCTGCATTCGGAGACTGTGGTTTGGCTGTTTCTACTTTTATGATTCTCCAAGGGTTTTGATCAAATCTGAAGACAGAGTTATACAGCCAAGACTCCATTTCCAGGAGCAATGTGGGGGCCATATCAGGGAATTGCAGCCCAAACCAGGTGGGTTGTTCTAGGAAAAAAAAATCTGATTTGAAATAAGAATGAATCAAACTGGCCTAAAGTCACTTCACTGGGAAAATGAGCTAGGGAAACTACTGACAGATTCTCTCAAGGAGCCTGAGCTATAATTCCTACTCTTTAGGAAATTTCCATAATGTCTTTTCAAAATGTTCATGTTGTGCCATGAATCACCTAATGTGGTTCAATGACTCTTTGCTCTCTTTGGCATTTTCCTCACTTGCTGCTGGAGGCAACAGGAAGATTCTAAAATGACAGAGGTTCTCTGTAATTGGTCAAGCAGGAGGACTATCTCTTTGTATTGAGCACCCATTCTGGTTGGGGCAGAATGCCAAGCAAGAGGACTGTCCAATCACACTGTGCCATGAGGCATACTGACAGGATCCTTGCAGGGCAGGCCATCCAATGAGATGTGGAGTTGGCCCATGACGTGACACAATGTGGCCTATATAAAGGGCTCCCGGCCCCTAGCAACTCTCATTGTCTGTCCTCACCAACTGTGGACAGCAATGGCTGAACTACTCTGTGACTCTTCTTCTAAGCAGTCCCTCAATCCCCAAGAGCTAGCCTGTGACACCTCTTCTGAGGAGCCCCTCAATCTCCAAGAGCCTCAGAAGGCCGGCCCGGCCACCAAACCAAAGCCCAGGCTCCCCAGCCACTCCAAGAGCATGAGGCACCGCAGCCACTCCAGGTGTGGGGACAATTTTGCCACCTATTTCCCCAGGGTGCTGAAGCACATCCATTCGGGCCTCAGCCTCTCCCGGTCTAGCATGAGCGTCCTGGACTCCTTCGTCCAGGACATATTCGAGCGCATCACCAGCGAGGCCCGCCGCCTGGCTGGCCAGAACCATCGCTCCACCATCACCTCCAGAGACCTCCAGACAGCCGTGTGCCTCCTGCTGCCCGGGGAGATTGGCAAGCACGCCGTGTATGAGGCCACCAGGGCCGTCTGCCGCTCACATTCCAGCAAGTGAGCCGCCTCTGGGAGCCCTCCGCAGCCAACCCTAAAGGCTCTTTTAAGAGCCATCACTGGGCCCCAAAGACCGGTAGCGCTGCCAGCGCAGCACACCTCAGGTCTGGGGGTGAGCGAGGGGGTGCCCTGCCCATTCTTAAAGCATTTCTCAATAAACATCATCACATCTGCTTTACTATATGTCTGTGGTGAAATATGTTCCAAGGAAAATAATAACAAATCTTTATTACATGAGCATTTCTGTCACATACTCCTAGATCAACCATTGTAAGGCTCAGTCAGGTCATAGTTATTTTTGTAATAATGTATCTTTTTAACTTTTATTCTCACAGGAATGTGGAGCAGAATTATCTAGAGGTACTTAATGTGTCCTATGGAAGTAGATAAAGCCCAAAAGCAGAAAAATAAGCATACTCAATATTACTTTTAAAAACATCCTATATTCAGAATTGATTAAATACAGACATGTGCTTAAATAACCAATTGTGCAAGAATTCATTCATGTTTCAAGCTGTCTAAAGTGTGAAGTTACTATTCTGATTTGGATTAATATATATAAATATAAATATAAATATATATGTACTGGAGTTTTGAACTGAGTTCCACAAGTATGGGAGATTCTTCTACTATGCAGTGTTATTCTGTGGACCTACATATCAAGCCTTCTGTTCTTACTTTTATTTATTTATTTATTTTTGAGCCTAGGGGTGCTTAACCACTGAGCCACATCCCTAGCCCTTTTTATGTTTTATTTTGATACAGGGTCTCATTAAATTTCTTAGGGCCTTACTAAATTGCTGAGGCTGGCTTTTCACTTGGGATTCTCCTGCCTCAGCCTCCTGAGTGGCTGGGATTATAGATTTGAGCCACTGCACCAGTGCCATTCTTATGTTTAACCCCCAAACCTTCATTCTTGCATAATTATGTTTGCATCTTGTGACCATCCACTGGAAACAGTTCACATCTCAGTCTCAACTGACTCCACCAACCAGAGACCTGCCATCTCCAAGTCATGGACATTGGCCCATAGTGCAGGCAAGTTGCTTGGATAAAGCAGTAAGAGTCTGCATGAAATTCAGCCTGGAGGTTGAGGAGAAACAGGAAGTGATTCTTTTCCAGGCGCATGGCTGTCTGGATGCTTGTTTTTAACTGTCGTGATTTAAAAGCATGAATCTAGAGCTGGGAGGGGAACATGTCTCCTGCCCCTTGCATTAAATTAAGAGGATGGGAGTCAGGTGCAGTGGCACAAGCTTGTAATCCCAGCAACTTGGGAGGCTGAGGCAGGAAGATGGTGAGTTCAAAGCCAGCCTCAGCAACTTACTGAGGCCCTGAGCAACTTAGCGAGACCCTGTCTCTAAATAAAATATTTTTTAAAAGGGGTGGGGATATGGTTCAGTGGTTAAGCACCCCTGGGTTAAATCTCTGGTACCAAAAAAAAAGGTTGGGCAGAAATTAATATAACTAAGATGACACCTTTTGCCAAGATATTTGAATGTTAATATTTATCTTAACATTTTCTAATTTCCATTAAGTTTTTTCTTTGTGGCCTAATTTTTTTGGTTTGTTATACAAAGATATTGCTTCAATTTGAAACAACTTAGGATTTTCTATTTTAAAAACTTGGTGCAGGGCTGGGGATGTGGCTCAAGCAGTAGCGTGCTCACCTGGCATGCGTGTGGCCCGGGTTCGATCCTCAGCACCACATATAAACAAAGATGTTGTGTCCGCTGAAAACTAAAAAATAAATATTAAAAAAATTCTCTCTCTCTCTCTCTCTCTCTCTCTCTCTCTCTCTTAAAAAAAACTTGGTGCAATTAGTTCAAAAGAAAATGATGGATTTTGCTTAATGAGTCTGAATTTAATCACTTTATTATATTAATAATTTCTTCCAGTTATATTCTTAGGGTCACTTTTTATCAGAACCAATCAGGTAAAAAGTGTTTTTGTAATAATATCCTTTAGCATTTTCATTCTCATTCTCCCTAGAGGAGGCAGTGGAATAATCCATAAGGCAATTATATTTGAAATGGCAACATATAAAGTGAAGACTTGATATAAACATTATACCTCTTCAGTCTGATTTTTCCAAACATACCTTATATAGAATTCTTTTATAGCATCCAATGGAAGTACAAAAAAGCTAAATAAAATTTTCAGAAACAATTCCTTTTCCCTGCTTTTTGGACTTTGTAATTACCATTTCCAGTTATTGAGATTTATCTAATTCTATTATTTACTATTGATAATCTGTCAATTTTAAAAACACAAACTTTTTTTTTTGTACCAGTGATTAAACCCAGGGGTGCTTAGTCATTGAGCAACATCCTTAGCCCTTTTCTTTTTTTAATATTTATTTTTTAGTTTTAGGTGGACACAATATCTTTATTTTTTATTTTTATGTGGTATTGAGGATCGAACCCAGCGCCCCGCGCATACCATGTGAGCGCGCTACCTCTTGAGCCACATCCCCAGCCGCCTAGGCCTTTTCTTAATTATTATTTTTAGTTTTGAGACAAGATCTTACTAAGTTGCTTAGAGCCTTGATAAATTGCTGAGTCTGGTTTTGAACTTGCAATCCTCCTGCCTCAGCCTCCTGAGCTACTGGGATTATAGGTGTGTGCCACCAGGCCCAGCTAAAAACATAAACCTTTATTATATGCAATTATACATCATTTGTATGAATGAAATTTCCAATAAGAACAGATTAAGCCTTACACTGGACTAGCCAATGAAGAATACACAACTAAAGGTGCACAGTCATTGTCTCAATGTGTGGGTGAGAGATCAGGGCTGAACCAATTACAGCCTTCTTGTAACATGCAGATTGGAGATTGAGGAAATTGAGAGTGATTATGTTCTTTGTTATTTGTTGTTTCCTTACTTGTTTATTTTCATGTTTTTTTTAAAATATGAGTCCAGGGCTGGGGTTGTGGCTCAGTGGCAGAGTGCTTGCCTTGCACATGTGAGACACTGGGTTCTATCCTCAGCACAACATGAAAATAAATAAACAAAATAAAGATATTGTGTCCATGTATAACTAAAAAAAATTTAAAAACTATGAGCCCAATTAAGATATACTTTTAACACTGTTAACAATATTTAAAAAATAAACTTTAGAAATTTAAAGTATGCATTTAGACCTGGAAGTAGGATATTTCCATTGCCCTTTGCATCAAATAAAAGGACTATGGTCTATCATTTATAGAACTAAGTCATTTCCTCAAGTGATTTGAATGTTCATATTAATTTTAATGATAAATTATTTTAATTTCCACTGTTTTTTTGACCAATGACTTTTTAAAAATATTATTTTAATATAACATAAAATATAAACATGTACATATTAATGAGGCAATATTGACTTTTTGTTTCACTTGTCCATGTGTATTGTTGAATTTCAACAATGTTGGTGATTTTCTAACTGCTTTTGTTTCTAAAATTTATTTCTAGCCTATTACAGATATGGAGAAAGAGCATACTGTGGGATTTCAATCCAAAGAAATTTATTATTGTTTTCATTAATGCCCAATATTTCATCATTTTTATTAAATGTTCCATTTGAATTTCTCAATAAAATGATGAATAACTCTTTTAATGTATGCAAACACCTTTAAAGAATGTCAGGCCTAGCCAAACAATAAGTCAAAAGCTGGGCACACTATAAAAATCAAAACTTTTCTTGTGGTCTGGGGGTATAGCTTAGTGGTAGAGTGCCTGCCTAGAGTGCATGGGGCCTGGTGTTCTCCAGCACCGCTAATTACAAAAAAAAAAAAAAAAAAAAAAAAACCTTCTCTTGAGCCCCGGAGTAGAGGGATAAGGCCCTTTGGGGAGAAACACCCACATGGATTATTTCCTTTTGACAGGACTGTCTGTACTTGCTTGGGGGCAAAGTGGGTGCAGGGCAGGATACGAGAGTAGTGCAGGTAAGAACAGAACAATTTCACATCCAGAGCTCCCCTAAGCATCAACAGGGACAGAATGTAGGATAAGTCCTCTCATAAGGATTAGTATGTGTTGTTATTCAGGAAAATTAGAAAAAAAAATCTTATGACAATTAGAACGATCTTATGAATGAGCTTACTGTACAGGAAACCAAGAAAATAAAAACTACTCTAAAATCAACCTCACGTAAATACTGATTGGTGATTCAAAATAGTTGTACACATCCAGAACACAATTTTGTATGCCAAAGGAGCTATGTGTCTTTTCCTGTCGACCACTGAGAAAAAAACCCACTTCATTAAGCCACTGAATACATCATGGTAGTTGGAGCTACTTGAAAATATGTGTGTGTGTGTGTGTGTGTGTGTGTGTGTAGTGGGGGAGTACTGGGGATTTGACCCAAGGGTACTCTACTGCTGTGCTACATCCCTAGTCCTTTTTATCTTATTTTGAGGCAGGGTCTCACTATTTTGCCCAGGCTGTCCTCAAACTTGTGACCTTCCTACCTTTGTCTCCCAAGTAGCAGAGATTACAGGTGTGAACCACTACACCCAGCTAAAATGCCAAAATTTAAAACATGAAATATCATTGTTTCATAATACTGACTTCATACATATTTCTTTATGACAAGTAATTTTAAGGATCTGCATCCATTAGATTAGTTTTATCATGCTATGGTGTTTTGCCTGTGTAAATTCAGAAATTGAATAGGAACGTTAGTATGACAACCCAAATAGGGTCTGTGAATTAAAGTCAGGGAGTGAAATGAGACTGATGTAGACAAATTATTAGGATGAGAGTGGAATAATGAGGTTGAGTACTAGTGGTGAATGTGAATACATGTGATTATTCACTTCAGTGGTCCATTGAGTAAAAGAAGGCACCTAGTGAGCAATCATAATCAAATAGTATATTTACTAAAATGATAAACTAAGGGAAAGAGTTAACACTTCAACAACAAATTATATGCTTTCAAAACAGATTATAGGTTAAGTTGAATACATTTTGAAAAGATATTTTAGATATATTTGATAAAATATTAAAATTAAGAAAAATGAA